TACTTTGCCGAAAATCCTTTCTTTTCAATAAGACTTGGTTGTAGTGAAAGAAATGTTAGAAAGGCATCGTTTTACCAACTTAATTAGCTATGACGTACGTTTCTTAGTTTGGTCAAGACAAATGAAATGTCAAGCAAATGACTTGTCGATCAAACTGGCCTAAGTTATCTTTCTATAAGTATCACAAAACGCAATCCTCTTTTATCAATAGCTTCTATAACTTCGAGCTTCTTTCTTCATAATTGAATAGAATTCATATATTAAGCGATGATGAATTCAAGAGTTTTCATTATCACCTTGGTATCTTGCATTATTGCCTCAACTCGTGCATACGATCCCGACGCTCTTCAAGATCTTTGTGTTGCCGATAAATCTCATGGTAATAACACTATTTAATTTGTATTCAAATTTATAAATATCATAATTAACTAGCATAATTCTCAAACTATGTGAAACTAATTATTTAAAATCATAAATAGAATGAATATTATTTATAGATAGAATACATATATAACACTTTTTTTTAATGAAATTTTAAAATTAGGGACCTATGTAAGTTTCAAATCAATATAGATATAAATTTGCAAGAAAATTAAGGTTGTAATACATCACCATTTTTATTTATATAATAACATTTTGAAACTAAAGATTTTTTTTTCTTTTGTCACAAAGTTTTTTGTTTGAATAAATAATAAACAATAAAAAATAAACAACACGATGCATCGTAGGAACCAAGCTAAACGGATTCCCATGCAAAGAAACATCAAACATCACGTCGTCCGACTTCTTCTTCGCCGGAATCTCCAAACCCGCCGTCATAAACTCCACGACGGGCTCCGCCGTAACCGGAGCTAACGTGGAAAAAATCCCAGGGCTCAACACTCTCTCCGTCTCCTTAGCGCGTATAGACTACGCGCCGGGAGGTTTAAACCCGCCTCACACTCACCCACGCGCCACCGAAGTCGTCTATGTCCTCGAAGGAGAGCTCGAAGTCGGGTTTATCACGACGGCGAACAAGCTTTTCTCTAAAACCATCAAGATTGGTGAAGTTTTCGTTTTTCCAAGAGGGCTCGTGCATTTTCAGAAGAACAATGGGAAATCTCCGGCATCGGTTTTGGCGGCGTTTAATAGTCAGTTACCGGGAACGGTTTCTGTTGCGGCTGCGCTTTTTGCGGCGGAGCCAGCTTTGCCGGAAGATGTGTTGACAAAGACTTTTCAGGTTGGAACTAAGATGGTTGATAAGATCAAGGAAAGACTTGCAACTAAGAAATAATTTTGTTAGC